CACGCATGAAAAAAACGAGATGGAGATACGAGAGAAATGCGGGAAAATTGTGAGAATCTACCTCAAGAACAGGATGAAACTAGCCCCGCACTTTTCGAATTTTGTACTTTCTCGGATTGTGCTGCATCGTGCTACGTTTGTGCTACGTTTGTGCCGCAATCGGCAACTCTGTAACTCAAAGCGTATTCAAGAAAATTAAAAGAAACTAAATTTTTTTACATTTTCAAAATTTCGAAAGTTGTGCCGGATTATCAGGAGCAAGTCTAACCCAACAACTTTTTCTAATTGCAAAATGTCCTCAGATGGCTGGTTTTCGCAGTACGAGCATTCGAAGAAAGTAATTTTTAGGAATAATTTTAGGAATAATTTTCAGATCATTATAGTTTTTGAACCGTGATATATAGATATTCGAATTTTGCGAGTTATGCTGAATTGTGCTAGCCGAGTACATCTTTTTTCTACCGAACGAACGAAAGGAGATATTCAGTTTTTTCAAACGGCGCAACGCGGCACAAATTAGTAGGAATTAACAAACAAAAATTGAGTTCAATCAGATAAAAGTGAGGAGCTAGTAAATTTTTTCGTTTTTATTTTTTTCTCTAAATGTTATTGAAGCTATCGGTCTCGCGTTTGCGCAAATCAGCACAAACATAGCACAATACGGCGCAATAAAGAAAAATTCAAAATTCGAAAAGTGCGGGGCAAATGAAAAATTTAGTTTTTCTTAATTTTTTCTTGAGTACGCTTTGAGCTACAGAGTTGCGGATTGCGACACACACAATACGGCACAAACGTAGCACAATGCAGCACAATTCGAAAAGGTACAAAATTCGAAAAATGCGGGGCCAACTTCACACGTGGTCATCAACTTCGGGGATGAAACGCGCAAATCTTAGAGAGGCCCTTGGCGTATCGGTCGCCACGTCGTACATTGCAAATTTACGACGACCAATTCAGAAGGATACATTTGCTTCTGTGTAATTGAAACAAGTCTTCAAATTTACGCAAGTCGTGGCAATCGTGAAAGTAGAAAATAGAAAATCGTCCACCCGGTCCGCTGCACGAACGACGCGTTGGCGCGATGATACGTTAAGTCATCGTATACGTTAAGTTACGAAATTGCAGTCGTGAGTCGAATCATTTGGTGACTTTTCCTCGTCCGTGCAGAGTCCCGGCAGCTTTTGTCTCTTAGACAAGCGTAGACATTAGCACCGACTATACTTATAGCGTATAATTATAGCGTATACTTGGTAGTGGTAATGCTGCATCTTGCCGCGCGAAAGTTGACAGTCATCGGAATTATAGAACACCCCGGATACTTTTCGCTCTCGCTGGTCCCGCCGCAACTTAGGTCTGTGTCCTTCTTGAAGCATTATTTATATCGACCGATAGTCCGCCCGAAAGGAAGCTTATCGTCGAGTGAATCTCGGAATTTACAACGGCGTTTACAACGAACGAATTTGGTCGCAAGCTGCGCGATCCTGCGGTTATAATTAAAACGTTCCGGGTTCGACGCTAAGCTTCCTCCGTGCGCTATTTTCTTATTTTTAGTGTCTCTCTCTCTCTCTCTCTCTCTCTCTCTTTCTTTGTCCCTTTCTTTCTCTTTCTCCCTCCCTCTCTCTCTCTCTCTCTCTCTCTCTCTCTCTCTCTCTCTCACTCTCTTTCTCTCTCTCTCCGTGACGTTACTTTCTCTCCACTCGAATGACCTTCTATCAAGCATTCTCATCATAGACTAACACTTTCCGCGACATATGGCATTCTTGTTATGGGCATATGATACTTCTCTTTAGCGACTGAACGGTGAACGAGTGCAACCCTAATTTACTAATTTGTTTTGATCGTGTGTTCACGAGGAAGATGATCGGCGATGTGTATGTTTTCGTCTATCTAGAGACTTGCGATAAAAACGGGACTGAGCGCCGTCCCATCGGCCGCACTAAGCACTCTTTACGGCGCTCGGCTCGGTTTTTATTTCAAGGAGATTAGTTGTGTCACACATTCTCTCTCTCTCTCTCTCTCTCTCTCTCTCTCTCTCTCTCTCTCTCTCTCTCTCTCTCACTCTCTCTCTCTCTCTCTGTTCGCCGCCGGCGTCTCCTGCGGTCTTCCCCTCGAGGTTGACTTTCTCCCTGCGTATGTTATCATGAGACGAAGACCACGAGCTTCGTCTCCGAGCGGGGGGAGAGGTTTATATGCTTTATCTTGAGCATACACCTTGCCTGCGTAAACAGGCAAACCGCGGCGAAGGATGCAGCGTGTAAACCCCGCCGCTGAAGATCCCAGCCGCCGCGCCGGCCGCGTTAGGCAGCGCGCGCGGCGCTGTCAATTCGGACAAATGGCAGAGCGTGTCGCGAGCGACTTCTCCGAATGATCTATGCGAGAGACGTCGGCCGTCGGGCACGTCTGTCTGTAAATAACGGCCGACACGCGGCGGCGGTTTGCAGCGGCGACAGCGACCGCGCCGCAGCGCGCGGTGCATACGACGGCTGCGACGAACGCGGCGCGGCGCAGCGCGCGGATGCAGCCGCACGAACGGAACGACCGTAGCGCGCGAGGCGCGCCGGCATTCAAGTCGGCAATTAAGAGGCTGTGTAACTAATGCGCCCGCGGAGGCGCGTGCACGCGCACGCGGAAGCTGTTAATCTCGTTTCGTCGCGCTATATCGACCGTTCGTGTTCGGCCACGTCTCGCAGCGGCCGCCGACGCCGCGCGGCTCCATTTGTCGCAGTCGCCGCCGCCGCGGCGGAGAACGACCCTGTGGGAACTGGATGAATCGAAATCGAGGATTCTCTCGATCGTCGAGCTGTCCGTCGAACTCGAGAGCCCCCCCCGATCGTCGGGAAGTTGCGAAGAGGGTCGCTTGCTAAATGATTCGGCAGCGCGATATAACCGGCCGGCGCAGAAACAGGAAGAGGACATTCGTCGCGACACGTTCACACTTCATTCGTGTGAACGTTTTGTTTTCCTTCATTTTTTCTCCCCTTCGTTCTTCTTTTTTTCTTTTTCTTTTCTGTTCCCTTTAATTCTCGACCCCGCTGATTATAAAACCCGCTATTTTGTTCGGATTATTTTTAAAACTGTTCCTTTCTCGATTGTCGATTTTTCATGAGAGTAATTCGATAGAGCGGATAAAACGGAGCGGAGCAAGAAATAGCGAATTTTCAAGAATCTTCAAGTCGAAACTCGACCTCGACGATTGGAGAGCTCTTAGAGATTTCGCTCTAAGTGAATTTCCATCAACCGCGTCTTTTAATTCGTCCAGTTTTACACGTGATCGGCGATCTCTGTGTCTCTCTTTCTCTTTCTTTCTATGTTTCAGCATCATATACATTTCTCGTTATATCTTAGCGTCTATAGACACAATGAGACAAACACGGCCTAATAAGATACAGGAGATAAGATAATTATAATTATCGAATTATCAAGGTTCGATAATTATCGAATTAGGTGGGACCAGTTATTGGGGCTCGCTTGCTGCGAATTGAATTCTACCTTTGCTCTCTCACGTGTCGCGTTTCTGTCTCATTGTGTCTCGTTTTCTATGACTGTTTGTGCCTTGATCTTGGACATCCGATTCTTAACAATTGTACTTTGCGTCTATGACAATATATCTTGATTACGCTCGATGATTTTCTTGACATGCATTTTGCATCGATTAGATCGACTGGAACTAATTCTATTTTTGATATTAACCTTCATTTTTGTCTCTCTCTCTCTCTCTCTCTCTCTCTCTCTCTCTCTCTCTCCCTCTCCCTCCCTCCCTACCTCCCTCCCTCCCTCCCTCTCTCTCCATCTCTCTATCTTTCTTCCTGTCTCTCAACTTTCTCTCTTTCTTTCTGTCCGCCTGTTTCTATACTATCTGTTGTCCATCTACTTTCAGCACAGGTTGCCTGACTTTTGAATGGCGCATCTACCTGTATTATACCTGTATTATACGAACCTATACCTATTTATATGCAATTTTATGTACACGTTTCCGTGATATACTTTTTACCTCCGGTTATTTACGCCTCCGCAATTTTCCACGCCACGCGTTGACGCGTGCACAAACCGCGCTCTGTTGTTGCGTACGTACCGCGCAGCTCGCGGCTGTAACGTAACGTGAACTTTTGTAAATGTCACGTTTCGCACGATGTTCCGTCCCGCGTTTGAGAAACTAAGTTGACTAGTTTAATAAAAACGAAAACGAGAAAAAAGAAAAAAGAGCGAGCGGGCGGGACAAAATTTGCACGGAGCGCTCCGAAAAGTGTGCGCGCGCATTAGAGAAGAGACGATTCAACAACGGCAAAAAAAAGAAAAAAGAAAGAAGAGGAAGAAAACAATACGCTCGTACGCGTACGAATCACCGGAGGATTCCGGCGTGTAACCTCGCGCGATCGGATTCGCGAGCCAAATTGCTAACGGCCACGAGTAAAAATCTCTTCTTCCCGCCCGCGCCCGCGCCGGTGGTCTTTCGATTTGTTAATTAATTAAATTGAGTGCGCGCACGCGACATCGCGGCCGTCGTCCCCCAAGTTTCTTCTTTCCAGGTACGACGCACGGCGACGCGCACGACGACGACGACGACGACGACGACGACCTCGACGTCGACGTCGACGACGCTCATTTGACGAGCCGTCGCGCGCGGAAGCACCTCTCGCGGGACCCCTTTATCGATCGATCATTATCGAAGGCACTTGGTCAGCCTCGCGCATCTAATTTCCCCGCAAGGGTGAGAGCCGCGCACGTTACGTCGAAGCCGTTCGCAATTTTTCCCCGCTCGGCGACGGGGACGTATACGTGCGAGCGCGCCTCCCCGTCTCGTGAAAGAGAGAAAGAGAGAGCTCAGCCGATGACCCGACGAGATACAGGAATAGTAGCAGCCAGTCGCGAGAGAACAATCGTCGTGCGCATCGCCGTTTCGTACCGCAATTAAACGGAGGATCTTTACATACGTGTACGCCGTATGCGCGCTCGAGGCGCCATTATGTGTGCCAATTAACGGGGCCGATTGGTTCTTGCAG